TACGGCTTAAGCCACGTTGTTTGATCCGGTCACTGAGACGAGGGCCGCTCTCCTAATAACGTCCCTCACGATGCTGAAGCGCTCTCCCAGACAATCCATGGGCATACTTGGTGGCTGAACCAATGTAGACGTAGTCCTCTACTCGAAGCGGGTTAAGGCCGGAGCCCCGGCCACGCTTGAGAACCCACGCATAGACCCCGAACAAGCTGGTATCCTGCCAAGCCAAGCTCCTCCAATCTGCAGCTGTGGGCGGCCTGGGGGCGGCCAAGATGTGCTTCACCGGTGTCGGAATTAACGCGAGAATGGTTGCCACCCAAGCTTCTGCCGATTTGGCGCTTAAGATGGTTCTCCAATGGGTTGTAACGTCGCCCTCCTCCAGCAGTCGGTCGATGATTTGGCACATTCGTGCCTCGAGGATGGATTGCTTTTCCTTTCCGAGATCTTTGTCCAAAAGCGCTGCCGAGAAAGAAACGGCGTCGTTTCCCAGTTCCGCACTCTTTTCCTTTGCCATCAACCGTAACTGGTATTTAACGGCTCCTGGTCCTCGACCGATTTGGCGTGCGATGGATTCGATGTCAATTCTTCGGCGGTTATTGGTGAGTTTGATTAGGTGTTCCTTCTCTTCATCCGACCATTTCCCACGTTTCCGCTTCCGCACCAGGCTCGCCAGCTCCTTATCTTCTTCCACCATAGCATCAAATACCATTCGGGGGCGCCGCGAGATATGATCCTCCAAGCGAAAGACATCAAAAAGCCCATAACCTTGCTGTAGAAGCCTTTGTATTTTTTCTCTCCCCGCCGGAGCGAAGGGGCCGTCTCCATCCTGTGGCATACCGGCTGTGTGACCAGTACGATGACGCTTTGTCATGTGGCCATGATTCCACCTTCCAAACGAGGGAGAAGCCAGCAAGGCAGTAGGCTTTCGAAATGATGCTGAGGAGATGTAACTCTCGCAGCCTAGTTGGAAAGCCTTTAGGAGGGATGGCATGTTTGAGGCTAGGGGGGGGGGGGTTGTCGAAGGCTGACGGGGCGCAACTACCTACCTACTGGTCGAACTTAAGACGGTCAGCGCATAACACGTGACTCATGCTTTCCAGGTATTGTGGTTGTGTAACCTCGCTGTGGCTGAAAGGCTGAACCTAAACATGCCCGGGCGTCTGTGTGCTCAGTTTAAAGAACACTAGCAAATGGCGTAAACGCCTATCTCTCAACAACTTGTGACTCCGATGATGTGAATCACCACCGGCCTGGCTCGCAGGGGAGATAAATATCTCTCCCGTCGCACATCCAACTGGGCACCTAGGTAGACCACAAGTCACAACTTTGAACTATCTTCTAGCGATGCCTCAGCTGCTAATGATCACATACTGCGCTATGAAATTCTCAGCTACGCCCCTCATCTGAATGCTCCCTTTCCACCATATGGTCAAGGCTGCGAAGCATGAACACTGGGAAGTGCGGAAGCGGTATACCAATCTGCTCATGGTTGTTCCGGAACGCTCGTTCAGCTAATCACTTGAAGTGGTCAGAGTTGCCCTCATGTCTGATTGAAGATCCTCCACAGCTTTCACCTCAAGGGCCAAGTTTAACAGGACGGTAGCCATCCCCCTCGAGATGGGGGTCGAATGAAGCCTGGTTTAAAGAAGTTGTCGGTGATAAGACACTGTTGAAAAAGCAGGGGCTTAACTTCAGATTGGCGTAATGAACGAGATCAAACATCAGCCATTCATCACCGGAACTCGGCTCAAGAAAAAGCCGATGCCATCGCAAGGAAGATGAGTCAGACGACAGACAAGGGAAATGACCACGAACTAAAAAAGAGAAAAGGTTGCGAGTTATTCGACATCTTTGATAAGAGAGGTAGGAATGAAGCTGATGTGATGGTTGAAGTGGTTGGATATTATGGGTGAAGTCGGTCGGTCGGTCGATACACGAGTTTCAGCCGGGTCGCTGCGGTCAGAGGGAGGAAGAGGAAGAGAAAATAAGAGCGCAAACTTCAGCGAGAAGTAATCCAGCAGCAGAAAATAAGTGGGGCGCCGGAGCGGTAACAGATAAGAGAGATGGAGGAAAAGGACAAGAGAGAAGATATTGCAGACGGTTTCCCTTGTTTGACCCCTTTTTCCACAAGACCATCAACCTCCATCTTCTAGCCCATAAGGTGTATCTTTCATATACCATCGACCTCTGACTGATGGCGGCTCACCTTCCAATACTGCAGTAGAAGACTGGCGGTGTTCCCTGTGCTCTGATGGCACACCTTTTGTCTCCTCGAAGGTTTCTCCATGCCCACGCTGACCCTTCTAAGTGCCAATAGCCAACTAATGCCACAACACTGGCCATTCCTGCATCCGCGCTCACCATCACATCTTCTTTCGACTCTGTGGTGTATCCAGAAGTTTGACGTCCCCCAACATTGACCCCTGAGTCGCGGGCAAATCAAACAACCTTGGAAGACAGGGGAAGATTAGGCTTACCAATCCCTACAGTTACCCCGAATCCCCTCAATATCTGGGATGCAGAGCTCATCATCGATATTGCTGAGGGGAGGTCAAGGGGTCAATCCTCACCGGTAATATCTTCCTTATCGTCAGGAACGTCCCTGTGAAGCTTCAACGCAAAGCAATCGGCCAGCAACTGCCGGGGGATCTCGGCAAACTCACTGGCTTCAGAAATCAACACGGAGGGGATGAGGACAGGCAGCTGCTGTCATTGAGGTTCCTCGCAGAGAGATGACGGCTTGGTCATATATGCGCAATTACTGATGCAAAAAGGCTCGTTTCGAAGAGTCGGGGCAGGTTGTGGATGATGATATGAACACCGCGCGAGATCAGGGTTTTAGACAAGATCCCCTCAATTATCGCATCACATCACTCAAGCAGGTTCCCAGCATGCCTGACTCTAGCCAGCTGGGTAACCGTGACAATGCCGTCAGTCAAGTAAGCCTTTCCCCCTCATCCCATCTTTCTTGAACTATTCGTTCCCATTATACAAAATCGACACCAGCATACAACCAATCAGACCCCTCACACCCTGAACAAGCGAAACGAATATGTCGACTTTCCCGAGAGAGATTCACGTGATAATGACAACGCCCAAGCTGAAAATGCTGAATAGTAGAGAACAAATCAATGAGGCTTTAGAACGAGCGTTTGCCCAACCGAACGAGTGGCCTTATTACGACGCGGCAAGAGACGAAGCCCGGGTAGCGAGAAAGTTATGGACTGATAAGTTTATCACAGCAGACACCACATGGGAGCAGGGCCTCTCGGACATGACGTTCATGGATAACGTCTAAAAGGAGGTCTCGCGACAGATCCAGGTGGATGAGGGAAGGGGGGGTTGGGTGTAGCTCTACGATTTGGAGTTGGGGAACGGGGGGTGGTAACTGTTAATTTTATTGGAGGTTTGGGGTTTTTTGAATAGTGTATCATCACTTTGTAGGATAATGGGACGGGCGAGTTTTGGCATGAGCTTCTGGGCATGGCTTCTTGATGATCACGATGTGTCCTGGGTGCCTTTCGCGCCTCTTTGACTCAAAGACCATGATGCTCATGCGTTTCCTGTTTGGCTTGGCTTGGTCAGACGTCGGTTTGGTTTGCCTGATGTGTTGACCACCAGAGTCATAGAACAGTCACCCAGCCTATATATCAACCGTTCGTTGGCCACTGCTACGATGGCCGGATTCATCACTTTTGGTGTCACTTGTGGCCTCGTCACCTCCTGATGGGAGAGTTTGTACGTTGGCGTTCGGGGTGATTTATACATTGATATGAAGTACCAGGCATTGAATGGGAGCTTGGGAAATGAGGATGAATTCGAATACCTTACGTTACCGCGGGGAAGGGGGTCTAGACCTCCACGGATCTTCAAGGATTAAGACAACTGCTAGAGGGCCTGTATCGCATGTAACCTACTGTAGGGAGTGTTGAATCAGGGGACCAGTTCGACATGATTTCTTATAAATGCTTTCTTGACACACGATGATCCCAAGCTTCTCGACACTCCACACGGAGAGGCAGGACTGTATCAAGGCTTGTATGATGTGTACAAACTCACGAGCATGGAAGGTCTCGGGGAGAGCTAGGTTATCTGACGGATACTGGATGCCGCACATTGCCGCCAACCTCCGAGGTGCAATCCCACAATACGTACAAGTCCTTAACAATAGTCCGCAATGGTCAACAATGGCAAGGAGCATTCTGTTTCGGGTCTACCAGCACAGGGCAACTGCCCGAGCGTGTCGTCGACGACGGCTGCTCTGGCATCACCAACCGTGGCATCGTTGCTAGCCACGGCTTTCTAAGCAACTCTCTTCGACTTTTGTCAGCCGTTATATTCCACTTCCCTCAACACTTCCTTGCGACTTTCGTGACAAAATACCTTCGACTCTCCGAAGAAAATATCTCCGATTGTCCTGAGCAATTCATTCGAATTTATGGAGAACTTACTCTTGGCTTTGCTTGGACCGTTACCACTGCTTTGCAGGTCAATACTTAGCCCTGTCCCCTGCGACAAAAGCAGCATATTAACATATCTGGGTTCAACAATACAGGCACCGGCGGTTCTGGTCTGCCCAAGTAAGTCGTTTGTCCCTATCATCTGAGCAACTTCCCCGCGTTTTTCCTTCATTTTCCTCAGGGTCAGGAAGTCAAATACCACCGGGCTTTTCTCTTTGAATTTCTATATTCACAAGATTATTTGATACTGTCACACATAATTCAAATCACAAATCCAATCAACATGAGAGTAATCAAGCTAAACAATCCTACCCAGTTACCCTCACGGTTTTTGCTACCTCTGGATACGACCAACCCCCCCCCCCCCTCCCCCCAGCGCGGACAATTCCCCAATGCCTCAAGTCAACCATCAGACCCCTGTCCCTAACCACCCTCAACCCATCAACGCGGAGAACCCATCAGCCCTGCAAGCTCAGCACCTCAACCTTCTCTCGTCAGTCAACGACGGCGCCCACTGAACTCCTCGAAAACATTCACAACACCATGCGTCTCCGCCAGCGCAACATGGAGACCGTTCAGTACCTCGAGTCTCAGGCTGAGGAGATTACCCCTGGTGTTCGGGTCCATAACGGCGCAACAGTCGACGAGCTGAACGCCGTCATTGTCCGGTTGAAGAAGCCTCTCGACAACGCCCTGGCGTCTGCTCGCGCTGCGGAGGCGCTTTTTGACGAAACTTCTCGCATGGTCGAGGGAGGGATGGCCATGCATGAGCAGATGAACAAGAACCAGCACGAAGCCAATGCCGCTGCGGATGAAGGGCACAACGAGCATGACGCTCCACAGCAGCGGCGGGAAGTTCAGCCACGCAGCACAGGGGTATATACCCGCAAGAATGAGCTCCTAGTTCTCCTTGAGGGTATGCACATTCCCGGCAGAATCCAGGGTTTAATTGATGCTTTGGGCCCTGAGCCCCCTGCTTGCTCAGAGATCAGCTTTGAGGGCATGGGCGATGTGGAGGCGGCGAGGAAACAGGCTTATTCCGAGAGGAAGAGCTACACGGATAAAATCTTACACATCAAAAAAAGAGATGGGCATTCCCTGTGGTAGGGCGAGTAAGCAGGAAAACCTTCCAGGTTGAGGAGGAGACTGATGGAGAGAGGACAGCGATGACTGGTTGTTGTAGAGTCGTGTAATAGATACCAAGGGGAGATGTACGATAGTGTAGAGATGGGGGGTTAATGGAAGGGAGTGTAGGATATTTGGTTTTCGTGCTGACTTGTTAGTACCTGTGATTGTTGTAGTGGTCCTCAAGGGTTTGTCATTGTTATTGTGAAGAGTGCTAGACACTCACTACATGCCTAGTTCTGATGATCTTAAGTATAAGATGCACAATTATCAAGATCTTCGCCTGATACCTATGGCTTTCTGATCACCCCGTGTAGAGGATCCAGCGTTCATATTGCGCGGAGCTTCTGGCATACATTGAGTGGGCAGACACTACACCCTACCCATAATGTGAGGCCTTCTTTTTGATTAGCTATATATACTTGAATTTCAGCTTTTTAACTTCCCAAAGCAGATCACCAACCTATCGCCGTCACTGAGGGAGAGCCCAGCGAGCCTTAAATCTCACAACGATAGACCTTGCAACCTCATCAACAGAATCCAAAAAAAAAGCTCCTGGCTCTTCGGTTGGGAATGTATATTCCCGGGGGTCAGAGCCCTCGGCTTGTTCGCTGGTCAATGACGATGGAATTGATGCTCTACAAGCTGCAGCAGCAAGGGCTGAGGCTCAAAGGGCCTGCAAAAGCTACAGCGATAAGATACTTCATATCAAGAGAGAAATGGCGATCGTACCCTCGCGAAGCACCAAACGCTAGGCGTTCCGGGACGAGGGAAATGGAAACTGAGAGAACTGGAGGGAGTAACGGCGAACAGTCGCCTGGTCTGTTCTGGAGAGCTGGGCACGGCGAGAGAAATGTTTGGCAGAGAAATTATGAAGGGCTTCGGTCTTTTTGGCATTTGACTAAGTGGTGTATGATTAGGTAAGGGAAGGAATGTATCATGGTTTAGTAATATGGGGGGTAATGGAGTGATGTGCAGAATGATTGGTTTTGATGTTGTCCGTCAATATCTGTGATTGTTGCATTCAGGGCTATCATTGACATGTTAAAGAGTTTTAGACATATTATACGAACCTATTCTTTCGATTACTTTATATAAAACGGACGCTTTTTAAGACACTTCGCCTGGTACCTCTGGGCTTTCATTGCCCGGGGTACATAACATAACCGGTTTGACCGAATAATAGGGTAAGCCAGAGCTGTGAGAGCTCAAACCACCACCGTACACAAAAGCTGGTCAGACGGGCAGGGTCCTCAATCTCCTCAAGCTGCTGGGAATACAGGGAATGGGCGACGTCGAGGCGGGAAGAAAAGAGGTTTATTCCGAGAGAAAAAGATGTACGGACAAAATTCTGCATATCAAAAAAGAGATGGGTATTCCTGGCAGCATTCGGGGAACGCAAGTGCTTTCACATTGGGGAGGAGTTGGATGGCGCTGGGCCTAACTGAGCCAGGCCTGGGTTTACCGGTTGTTGGAGAGTAGGAAGAAGGGTTTGGGAGGGGAACAGACTGGAATTTGGTATTGGGGACTGTACCTGAATAGTTGGTTTTTGTGCTGACCTGTTAGTGCTTGTATTGATCCTCAAGGGTTGTCATCGTCATTGTGAAGAGTGCTAGACACACTACATACTGTCTTCCGATTATTCTATATTAAGAAATTCTCCGTTTCAACCTCGTCTAACCTCACGCCCCCTTCAGGTTCCTGAGGGATGTTTAATTTCAGGGTTTACATGACCCTCTCATTCCGAGTGATTGCCCGATCGTGAATGAACAGTCTCAGAAGCCTCTTGAACGCCTGGGAACGCGAGTGATCTCTACTCCGTTGGGCCAAATGCTACGCGAAGTTACCTCGGGGATTGAATTATCGTTAAAGGACTTGAGCTGGAATGAGATGGTTGTGCCCTGAGGAATGTAGGTGTTTTCGACGTAGGTCCTGAGTCTGGCCTTGACAACTTGGCCACGATGTGGGCGCCGTCGAACGGTTGAAGCCGTACAACTTCATCTCCCCGTCGGTGGATTTCAAAAAGGTTAAAACAACAAGAGGAAGATGAACCAGTTCAATGATCCAGGTCTCAACCGTTTTGGCGCTCTCAGGTAAGCGTCTCGATCTCCCCGGCCTTTACAATCTCTAGGCAATTATTCTTGTTTCCCTGCCAAGTCGTAGAAACCAAACCCTTCCCACCCCTCTCGATTCAATCAGAATATCGATCGATTTACCCAAACTTTTATCTCTGGGGCTGAAGCATAACCTTCGTAAAGGGAGCAAGACTTAGACTAACAATCATCTACAGCAATCCTTCTACCACGAGCCAGTCCCTGCCTTTAGCCGCGCAGAACACCATGTTATACGAAGCTACACTTGACGCTTTGATCTTAGCACTCCTGGAAGATTCTGATCTTGTACTTCTTGGGCAAGCCAGGAACAAGTTGTTATCTGGATCTGGGGCACGAGAACCGCAAGCGAGTAATTCCGTGCCACCTGGATAACAAGAATGGCAGGCGATTCACCCGGTACCACCTGTGCAAAAAGAAGATCACGTAAGGTACCTTACACAACCCTATGCCACCTTTTTACGATCGCAATGGCCCAATCGCGTCCGATCATGCGCTTCGGCAAGTCGCGCAATGAGTTCTGCAAGATTCTCTTCATCGTCGATATGAACAGCGCAGTGGACGATGTTGCCAACCGGATTGTCCGTCTCTACCAAGAGCTCGGAAGAAAGAAGAAGATGACGAGTCAACGATGAAGAGATATTGACAGCTGTTGTCCGAGAAGCCCCCGATGTCGTCGAAACTCGATGTCTTAAACCTGACGGCTGAAGCGGCTCAATTGGTAAAAGATAAGGCCAAAATGGACAGAAAGAGCTGGAGGGACAAACTCCTTCGTTTCAAGGACCAGACAGGATGGCAGAGAGAGTGAAGGGGGCCAAAGTAAGAGGAGGCGTTGCAGCGGAGGTGATGAACAAGGTTTGGTGTGAAGTTGAGGGGGGGGGGAGGGGGTGGGTAGTCGTTTCGTTTCTAGGAGACTGTGTCAACGGCACCTACTAGATATTGGGGGTGCATTTGCATTATAAATATCTATGAAGGTGACAATTACCGAAGGGTGTATAGTATGATGCTGTCTGGCGCGTATCTCACTTCATCAACGTCCTTCACGTGGTTCGGATGCAGCTACCTTCCATCGCAGTCAACGTTCCTCGGAAGATCAATTTCCTGCCACGTTATTCCTTACCCATATCCACCTCTCAGTGCCACAGTCAAACTGTAGTATCAGCCAGCGAAAGAAGACCAAAAGTTATCACTAGTCTTCCAATTTAGACTCTTCTTTCTGCTCCTCCGCAACACCTTTGGGTCCCTGTCGATAACTCGGCCGCCTGAACCTCACGCCTCTCTCTTCCATCCACGACCTCTGCACTGATGCCACCAGAAGGGAGCTCATACCACCAACGGCGCCTGCAAGCCCGTCGAGCCGCTCGATTTGTCAAACTATCTTGCCCGGGTGGATCCGGATATCATTGCAACTGAAAAGAGGATGGAGAAGGAGAAAAGGATGCAGTCACTGAAGCTCTGCTCGCACGCGGGTTTCATCAAGATCACCGGATTGTCCCGCCGCTTCTTTCAGAGATATGGCAATGACTGTCAACCGATTAGATGAAGCACAACCGACGCCTCATAGACTTACGACGGTTAGGACTAGGGTAGGAGGACCTCTGATAGCTTTGGTAGAGCAGTTTCCGACAAGGTCATAGGGGCAATTACCACCACACCAACTATCCCCTTCAGGAGAAACAATCGAGGACCAAGTCAAAGGCTGCTGCTGTTGCTGTTGATGACTCTCTACCTGTTATAGCAAACAAGCAAAAGGCTGCTGGTCCAATCGATCAAGATCAAGAGGTGAAGCGTGCACTCCAGGGCAATGCCAACCAACCCAACACAAGCGTCACAGTTGCTGGGCCCCAAAAACAAGTAGGTAGCCTAGTGATTGTTGAGAGATGATATTGAAATCAGAGCGGTCGATGAGATGAGACGGTTTTGACTTATCTTGTAAGATGAGCCTGTGAGACGAGCCAAATTGGCCTTATTTTTTCTCAAGCCAAGTCAAATCCTCCCGCCGGCTCGTCCCACGTCTTGCAAGCCAGTGAGATGAGCCAAATCGTGATGGCCTCAAGCCAAATGGAGGCCCTGGGCCGGTGAGCCAAGTCAAATCGAGGGCCGTCTCATCTCAACTCATCCCGTCGACCACCCTGATTAAAGTTTGAATTTTGTTAGGAATCAAGTATTGGATTTTAGGATATTGTAGATTTGTGGTGATCAGTGACACTGCGGTTGGATCGATGGTCTTTTCTGACATGTTACTGTGTGGGTAGGTACCTTATTGAAGCTTTTTGATGATGTAGATATATGTAGCTAGCTCATTCCTTGTGGCATCGTCTCCAGGCCTAGTGAAAAAACGAGGGCATCTTGGCGGATGCATCCTCAGAATTTTTACTATACCATCTACGACCCATTCCACCCAAAGTCTTCCGCAGAGAAAGGCCCATCCGTTGTCTCGGCGCAGTAGCACTAAGGTCATGAAACCCATCATCACCAGGGTCGGCACAGCAAAAGCCAATATGTCCAAATAGGGTACCTGAGGATCAATTCCACATCTTCACCGTCAGAGCCGGCCTTTTTCGGCCGGAATGAACTGGGTAACACCCAAACACCAGCGAGTAAACGCTCATATTGAGCAGCCCGAGCGCACCAGTACTCCCGACGACGAAAAAGGCCGAACTAGAAGAAGCCAGAGTCTATCTCGGGGAACGTGAAACCACCTCCACAACTCCGGACGATATCAATTTGAAACTTCAGCAATGACAGCTCAGGCCAGTGCCCTGGAATGGGCAGGTTTTCGGGACGGGGCCATTATATATGAATAGACATCTTCATGGCAGCAAGCCTCGCACCCTTCAACGAGTCGTCTATGAGAGCAGGCGAACATTTTGTCGTACTTCAGCCGACCTTTCAACCAAACCATCGGCAGAACCCCTTTACCGCACCATACAGCTACCCATCAGGACCGTCTCCCGAGCCCTCAGACGAACCTTCACATTTCAAGCTCAAAGACAGACAGGAGAAGATTCAACACAGGCTGGGGACGCGGCAGCAAACCCAGACCGGCCAACAACGAGATCATACCCGCTTTGAACAACACCAGTCAAGCTTTCCTGTACTTACCCCCTGAGATCTACCGACAGATTGGCCAGTACCTCACCAAGAGAGATGCGATTGCCGACGATCATCACTTCCGCGCGCCTAAGCCTGAGATGAACCGAGCACTTCAAGACGTGAGCCAATTGACCGGCTGGGGCCTTCTGTATGATCATCAAAGCAACATAGATGCCGTGGTGGATGGGACCAAAAAGACAGCGTCAACAGACGTTTTCACCAAGAGCTTCTTGGAGCACCACTACAAATGTCTCCGGCCCCGAGAAGCACAAGCTCCAGGATGGACTTCGTTAGATATTCGTGCTATTCCTACTTCCAAGAAGCGGTTTGAAGTCAGTCAGTCTGGTCCCTGTGAAGCTGGTCAAGCAGTGCACCAAAGGGAAGGCATGTTCACCTCATCAATAAACCTCCTCTCTATATAGAAGAGAACCTGTACGGAGCCCCCTATTCATCTTACCAACACCCCGCCTGAATATAAGATTTAACTATATTGCGAAGTATGATTATTAAGGGTTAGAAGATATTTTGATAGGCTCTAAACGATAGTTAAAGTATATTAAAAGATAATCAGGAGGCCTTAAAAGATAGTTTAAAGGGCTTAAAAGATAGTTTAAGGGTTTTAAAGGATTGTTTAAAGGCTATTAAGATACTTGATAGGTTCTAAAAAAATAATTTAAAGGCCTTCAAACATAAATTAGACTTTTATTAATCTTTCTTTAAGGCCTTTTACTATGTTATAGAAAAGGTAAGTAGATAGGTTGGGAGGGGGCCACTGATAAGATAAATAAGTGGCTGCGTAAATGTTCTCTCCTCTATATAGACTCATGTTTACAATTAACCAGCCGGTACCTGCCATAACTCCTTACATCTCACTCCCCCCCTTTCCTCCTCGCGGGACATCGTATTACCTCCATCCCGAAACGAACACACCAGGGTTCCATTGCCAACCTCTCAGCTTCCTACTCCACAGGTAACAGCAAGAACAAAGTAAGCCTGCATCGTCAGGAAGTCCTTGACCGACAAACTCAACCATCGGACACAACAAGAGGGCGCACCACCCCCTCGCGGGTCAACATACCAAGACGCACAGCCATTGTCCGCACCAAAGCAACCGGCTACACACCAGCTCAGGCCCACTATCAACCAGACAAGCTCAACTTTGCGGCGACTGGAACAAACCGTGGAGCAGGCGAATGTCGTCTTTACCCATACAAGCCCTCTTCCTACCTATCCTCCCCAACCAGCGGGAGACCCTTCATCAAGTGAACGATCTCCAATCTCCCACTTTTCACCACCAGCTCCCAGGGCGGGCAAGACGCATTTCAAGAAGGAGGAGCTCCGTTGGCCTTACAGGTTCTTGTAAAAGAGATGTTATCATGCAGCTGGAGCTAGAGATGCAAAACATATGTATACCCCCCTTTCCCGCAGAGCCATCTTCAAGCCGGAGCCTGTTCCGAGACGTATTTCAATTGCTTGAGAATGAATGACCGGCAACATGCTACCTCTTGTCGTCTCCGGCAAAGGTGCCGGGGTACCGGGATACTGCTGGTCTGGCAACAATTCCCGTTCCTGGATTTGAAGACGTGTGTCGAATATGCGCAATGCGTCATATCCCGGTGCGTAATAGCCGCACTGAGGTACAAAGAGGGTAAGGTGATTTCGTGGAATACGAGATGGCGATATGACTCTGTGAAACCTGAGATGGCGAGTGAGAGTGACCCCTACTCATTTCAAGACCAGCATTTGTGTCGGTCTCACAGAGCATTTGTGGGCAGTTTCCATGTCTCAGCGCCTTTGAGAAGAGATTTTGAATATGCTGGGCCTGAGCATGGCGTTGGAGCAATAATCGCGTGTATTATCTCAAAGTTACAACTCGAACATCTCATCCCAAGCTCAAAGCCCTCTCACCAAAATATCAGACGAACTGTGACGTCAGGTTCACACGGTCGGCCGAGTCTCTTTTTGCACTCTTGCTCAACCCCCACGCTGTGTCTCACAGCAGGATTCATTTACTATACAAATAGATAAGAAAGTCATCCCTTCCCATCTCAACCCATCCAGAATTCCCTCACCAACCCCTTCACGGCGCAGGCCATCTCGGAGTGTCGCGGCCGAAGCAGAAAGCTGAAGAAAGCTCAACAGCAGCTTCTCTCGGCAAGACCCACAAGAGCTTCAGGAGTTGGACATGGGGGGCCCGGTCACTATTGGATGACGTCGGTACTTGCGGTGTCCATCGCCCCAGATGCCATCGACAACATGCGCGCAGGCGAAATGATGGACGGCAGCCGTACGTCTTGTGCATGGAGCTGGCCGTCAGCTCAGGAGAGATGCCCAGTCCATACCCGCTGTCATATCGCCGCCTTGTCTGGAAGAGACGGAACAGCTCAGGGACGAAGGGACATGGCATCAAACTCAGAGCGGGCATAGGGCTGGTGGGGCATATGGAGGGGCAGGCATGGATAGGGTGGCTTGGCAGATGTTGTTGAGCGAAGCCCAGGCCACAGCCCTCAGTCCTCATCAGATTCACGATAGAATATCATCAACTTCCATTGCTGACTTTAAATACGTACATACGGGAATAAGGGGACCAACTCGGCCAGTCCGCCCAGCACGTGTTGGGAGTTGGGTGGCGGCATGACTAGATTACTGGATGACTAGATGACTCTTCGCGGACCGACTTCTCGAACACGGAGCTCTCGGGTGGTAATCCGGACACATCGAGAACATACCTAGCTAGTCATCTCCGTAGAATGGGCCAACTTGGAAATCCAATGGTCAAACAAATTCCATCTTGGTGATTGGCTCTCGGCGAGGACTACGGATACTCAAATGGCAATCATTGACAGCAGCTGGAGCATATACCGAGAGTTAACCGTGGAAGAGGTCCATTTTTAGCCGTGTCCGTCCGTTTCTTACCGGACATTCATTTTCGTAAACCCGATGACAGCTTCCGTAGCCCGAGACTGGCCTTCCGGGGTTGTTTTGGACCTGTTAGGCGAGTACTTTGGGACTCTAGATCAGAATGAGGCTCACGATGTGCATGGTGGTGTTGAGCTCAGCCCACCCACCCCCAGCCTGGCAGGCCGACAGAGCTAGATGCGCGATTTCAGACGACGGGAGACAGTCGAGAATTACAAACGTCAGCGTTACCGCACCCGCGCGGGCGGCGGGTCGGGGACAGTTAGAGCAATACTCTGGCCGGGGCGACAGCTGTGACAGGTCCCCCGGTGACGGAGGTCTTTTCGCCAAGTGGTAGGCTGGTGGCGATGAAGCGAGCCATCGCCAATGGCAGGATGATACCTTGGATGCTTAGTTGATCCCTAATGGAATTGAGTTTTTTGTCAGCGTGGGGTGAACAGCAAGTCTCACACTATCTTTTTGAGCGGGCGGGCGACGGCGGCAGGGAGGGGTCGGTGATGCAAGCAGGGCAAGGAAGGATGGGAAGCACCACAGCCCACCACCACCTTCACCCCACCTTCGTGTGTGGTCGCTCACCCTTTTTTATGTCGCTCATGCCACCACCACCACCACCACCCGTCGCGTCTCCCCTTCCTTCTTCATTCTTTCCCCATCAACAACTTCATCTGCTAATCTCGCCGTATTCTCCTGAATTCTTCGAGCATCCCTTCCCTTCCACTTCTTCACACAGACCACACACACATCAGGTAAGTCCCATCCTCGAGTAAGATCAACTGGAACCCCGCACCTCCTGCCTCACCCCGCCTGCATCGGACCTTGTCGAGCGACACCAGCTCCCACCCAATGGCTGCCCGGTCCCGGACTAGGTGGCCAGCCTGAGGACTGGAAAAACTTTATTATCTCGCGTCTCTCCCTCAAAAGCTCTCTCTCCATCTCCTCGTCTCTTCTTCTCTTCGACATCTCATCTTCCTGCAATTCCCTGGAAACGAAACAGCTTACTCACCATCTCTCTCTCTCTCTCTACCAACAGCAAACATGACTGTCAAGGTTGGCATCAACGGTTTCGGCCGCATTGGCCGTATCGTCTTCCGCAATGCGGTTGAGCACCCCGACGTCGAGATCGTTGCCGTTAACGACCCCTTCATTGAGCCCAAGTACGCTGTAAGTAGCTAGCCGCCATTGCCTTTCCCTCCTTTTCCGACAGCATACTGACCACCACCCCCGCCCGCCCTTAACAGGAGTACATGCTCAAGTACGACTCTACCCACGGCGTCTTCAAGGGCACCATTGAGGTCTCCGGCAGCGATCTGATCGTCAACGGCAAGACCGTCAAGTTCTACACTGAGCGCGACCCCTCTGCCATCCCCTGGAAGGACACCGGCGCCGAGTACATCGTCGAGTCCACCGGTGTCTTCACCACCACTGAGAAGGCTAGCGCCCACTTGAAGGGTGGTGCCAAGCGCGTCATCATCTCTGCCCCCTCGGCCGATGCCCCCATGTACGTGATGGGTGTCAACGAGAAGACCTACGACGGCAAGGCCGCTGTCATCTCCAACGCCTCTTGCACCACCAACTGCCTGGCTCCCCTCGCCAAGGTTGTCAACGACAAGTTCGGCATCGTTGAGGGTCTCATGACCACCGTCCACTCCTACACTGCCACCCAGAAGACCGTCGATGGTCCCTCGGCCAAGGACTGGCGCGGTGGCCGTGGCGCTGCTCAGAACATCATCCCCAGCAGCACCGGTGCCGCCAAGGCCGTCGGCAAGGTTATCCCCGAGCTCAACGGCAAGCTTACCGGCATGGCCTTCCGTGTCCCCACCTCCAACGTCTCCGTTGTCGACCTCACCTGCCGTCTCGAGAAGCCCGCCAGCTACGAGACCATCAAGGCCGCCCTCAAGGAGGCTTCCGAGGGTGAGCTCAAGGGCATTCTCGGCTACACCGAGGACGAGATTGTCTCCTCTGACCTCAACGGCAATGCCAACTCTTCCATCTTCGACGCCAAGGCTGGTATCTCCCTGAACGACAACTTTGTCAAGCTTGTCTCCTGGTACGACAACGAGTGGGGCTACAGCAGACGTGTGCTCGACCTCCTCTCCTATGTCGCCAAGTATGATGCTTCTCATTAACTCGGTTGCGTCCCCGCGAGACTGTAGTTGGTGATGGGTGCGCGCTTTGTGTGCCCTTTTTCCTAGATGAAGACGACACGCTCGACTGAAAATGGGTTTGGGTTGCGTTTGGAGCCTAGGTAGCAAAATATACCATGAAGCTTTAGAAGTACATTTTGTGGTTTTTACTTGACTATGATTGTGCGCTGTGCGAACTGGATGACCCCGAGGATCCTTATATGTTGTCCATCTTTTCGTTGATGTTTGTCCGTGGTAGTCTAAAAGGTGCCATTGGTACGTAGCTGTAGAAACACATCCCCATCAGCACAGCATCTGGTGCTGTATCTTTTGAACCTTGATAGTTGAGGAAATCACAAGTTCTATGCCGGATCTTGAAGACCACGTACCATGGTGAGTGGAGGGGAAGGCAACGGAAGGATGATCCTTGCTTAGGAAGTTGAGACTGGTGTTAGAGCCATGATGATTTTTATTTCGAGCTTGGGGTCCAGCAGAGAAGAAACCACCTCAGATCACAAGTTGGAAAAGCCCGACAGGATTATTACATCAAGCTCTATTAAAATATGTACAGTAATCATCACGAAAAACCAACGCCCTTTCTCCTTTCTCTCTTTCTTTCTCTTTAGTTATGATTTCTCCATGTTTGTTGTCTGCTTTGCCTGATCACATTTTGTTGTCCACTTTGCTGTTGATCTCCTGAGACAACTACGTTGATGTCCACGGGGTCTAACCCAGCCAGTTCATCCCGGTTGTGTAAGAAAGCAGCAGACAACACCTTCCAATTCGCCCTCCCCTCCCCCAACAACACCCCCCCTCCGTTACCATCTTCTCTTGGCGGACAATATCCCACATTCTCTCTCTCTCTCTCTCTCTCTCTCTTGTTTCAGTGAGATGTCGTTGGATATCATGACCACACAGCCATCGTCAACTTGACCTTACACACCAATGATTCCTCCACCATCACCACCCCCATAACCAACCGCCTAAAACGCACCTCCCTGCCCCTCCCCACTCAGCCCCCTCAAACTCCTCTCACTCAGCTCACTCTTCAACTCGCACCCCTTACTCTCCCTCTCCATCCGGTCCCACACCCTCATGCTCTTCCTTAATTTTACTTGTCGCACCTTCAACTCCTCCCTCAG